ATCGTATTGTTCATGAATCCGAAATATAGAGCTAAAATTATATAGCTTTGAGCAAATCAGTAGTACTCTAAATGTCTGCTATATCGACGAAAAGCATCACTCATTCTACGTGATGCTTCCGTTACCGCAGTCGGTTTCTGTTGACCTAATATGTTACAATAGTCGATGTTTGAAATACACGCAAAGCTACGTACAAGAATCAACGCCAATGCCTCCTCCATAGAGTTGGCGAAGTGCCAGCAAACCCTCCCGATATCTGAACACGCTTGCCCTTGCAAACAAAGAATCTAACGATATTGCTTTCAGTAATATAGCTACCCGGGCAATCTCATGTAGACATTTTCGACACGCGTAGAAAGTAGATCTGGTAGTAATACTTCTTATTATGACAGACCGATCCTTTAGAAGAGGAACGCATGGTCGTCCAAGATCGTCTGAGGCCAAGTGAAATTTAAATAGGAAACAATTAAATAAGGCCCTCTGACCTCATTTTTTTCTTTTTAGATATCAAGGATCTTACAAGCACCGCAACTGAAGTCGGTTTTAGAAGTACAATAGTTTGGCCGGTAGAAACAAGTGGTTTTGCCATTGAGACGGACTTACGCCTTTGTCCTTTCGCAAAACAAGTCCGCGTTTCCACGGTTTATAACGATTTGACAGCTTGTATTATGGCCGCTAGTAGCACGATATTGAATAAAAGATCTTTGAGCTCTTCTTGACGCTTCGTTCATAAAACCACTATGGCTGTATACGCTTTCCCGACAAATGTTGCATAGTGAAACTTTTATTTACGACTTAACTCAGCTTTGAGTTGCAAATGCAAAAGTTCTAGCCCATCTATTAGTCAAAGGTCTTGTGAAAACGAGTCTCCTTTCTTGCCTTTGTGGGCAGAAGGAGAAAGGCGTAATTCTACTAAAACGTGGACAAAGGATACGAAAATCATAGCAAGCACTGAGCTGCGTAAGCTGCTCCGGTTTCATTGGCAAAAAAATTGAAGATGACGTAGAATATTTGATTGGGGTAGCAATCTGCCCTAAAATAACTTATAAACTATGATGTCAGAGGGTGTAAATAAATATAAATGAATGACTTAGGGACAATGCTATATTGTGAAAAAGAGTTACTTGCAAAACCTATAACATCAAATTATATTTTAGAAATATAGCTCGTACTTGAACGCATCAATCGATACCAAACGTAATTCTTAAGTAGATTATGGTGTCTCGCTGGCTAGGAGCGGGATTGCCGTACTGGACGTATCAGGAGCAATTAGTAAAGCAGATGGTTGACTGCGTAGTGCGTCAACCAGTAGAGTCGCTTAGATATAGAACGAAACCGTCCCCTGAGACAAAGATCAACTGCCAGTCAACTGGCCATTAAGGGAGTAGAAGCTTCTTTACATGTTGGAAGGGCACCCTTTACGCTGCCTTTAGCAGACATCTTTCTTGATGGAATCCCTTCGAAATAATATATTGAGTCAATTCTACAATACATTCGCTGTCGTTCTGATTGGAGTCCACTTCGTGGTGCCGCTGCTGCTTTTAAATCTATCGGCAAATTGTTTCCTATTGCTTTATACCTGTCAAACACGTAATCCATTCATAGCATTCCGTTTGATACATTCCACCAATAACTAGTTGAGCTTCCTGCTCCTGAAAACGATCAGAAGGGCCTGCTATTTGTAGTCGGTGTATATATATATATATATATATAGAGGGTTATACATCAAACTTGTTGGCTTATCCTGAAGTTATCGGAGTTACGGAGGAAAAATTTTAAACATGTACCTAGGTTGATTTGTTCGATAAACATTCGGTGTATATTTTAAACCGTAACTAACACATACTGTTACGTGTTACTTAAAGTAACTGTTGCGATAGCAGGTATGTTTCAGTTGGTTAAATGCTCCTCCATTACCCATCAAAATGAGGCCGTCTCCTCGCAATGAGATGCTGAATAACGTTTTTTGAGCGCCTATTGCCAAAAAGACACATAACTTCCATTTTGCGCTCCGTTGAAATTCTACTCTGATATCACACAATTCACCCTTAACCTTTGTCATCCTTAATACCCGTAGCTTTGTACATTCACATACTTACGTATAGCGCATATGTAGCATCCAGTCAAATGGAGCCCGTAGGGATAACGTCGATCTTGACTTGTCCGTCACTTTCGATCGGCTACTGGTGCCGCTGCCGAATTTCGAAAACGTCACAAAAAGTCTTTACAGCAACGCAATAGATCCCAAGCGCATATCACCCATGATCGCCGTTTTTACCCGCCAAAGATCCGACAAATGCTATTACGACTCGGTAACATTCCAGTCTGTCTAAGACATCGTCGTCGTATTCCTTGCCCCCGTCGGTTTTCCTGTCGTTAGAGAATTAACTCGGGAGATATGAAATGCGACTGAGAGATTCCTCTTCGACAACGGTCGACGTTTGGTAGGCTGACGTAGATTACTTTTCATCTTAGTTCTAAGCTGTTTTATATGTGTTACACAGAGAAGGCGGCCGATTGATAACAAGAGAGAGAAAAGTACCTGTTAGCGGCTATGTGTGCTGCTGTAGCAGAAGCGTATGTATTGGAGGAACGAATCTACAGGCCATGCTTTAACTCAAAAACGCTTTCGCACGGAGCGCACATAACGAAAAGGCAACGAAACCCAGCGTTCGCTGCCTTCTTTTTTCAGCCTAAGTGGGTGACTGAGTGAATAGTATAGCCGGTACAACCACATAGATACCTACTGTGATGGGTGATGGCTGAGCCAAAGCTGGGGGAGATGGTGGGAGCGCGTAGGCAACGCCCCTCGTCCGCGTCGCATTTCTACGCTTACCACTCATTGATGGCGCGGTTGACTTACACAAAACGCTATTTACGCCCCTAGATCTATCTGTGTCTCCCTTATTGAAACAGAGGTTCAAATGATCTTAGCGAACAGACAACAGAAATAGTTTCTTCAGTCATCGGCATCAAAAAACACAGTAACTGTATTATACCCGGTGTCGTGTGATCAATACTAGTAGCGTGAGTAGCAAACGATGTGAAGCAAAAAAGCAATACGCTTGAATAGCTATACGCATATCCAAGTACAGAATGTCTCTAAGGGTAACGCAAGCAATACCGGTAATGCTAAAATCGAATCAGCATAGATAAGAATAGGTTTTGATAAGGTTTAAATTAATCTGATAAGGTGCCAACAGTAGCATCGTGCTGCGGCATTCCCTTAGCTACTACAAATATCTGAAGTGTTCTGGTTGTCGTTGATCTTGTCAGTGTTACTGCTGCCGGTCTGCGCTATGAATGAACGTAGAGGCATTTTGAAACCATCGAAGGAAAAGATATCTGTAAAGTTAGTCATAGTAATCGTGAAACGGACTGGGCCAAAGTACAGAGTGAGAGAAACAGGAAGGAAATCGCGTTAGTACGGACAGAGGCTGGACGCCAACAGGGGGCGATGAAAAATGCTATAGAAGAAGAACAAGCTATACCATATCAGACTTCCGAACATGCGCATACGAGAAAACCAGGAAGGAAAAAGAAGCACATGCATCAGGCATCATGTCAACAACAACAACTGACAAACGGAGTAGAAGTGGCAACACCAGAACTATAGCGATGACAACAACAAATAGAACGGCACGCAACTATATAGAAAATAGGCCCATAATGGCTATATACAGAAGCTGTCATTACCGCCTAGTCTTTACTGAAAGGCCAGAAGCGATGCTGCTGTACCCGGTCTGGGAAGGACAGCGGGGATCTCTGTCCCAGCAGGATAGCTTGGTTCTCTATTTCTGCTAGCCTTTGCCGCCATAGTCCTATAGCTAACAGATTGTTTGAGACACATTGTAATGGTGGTGACGTCAGTAATACCGATAGAACAACACCAAAGCCACCCAGTTACGGTCAGCATGTTCCAAAGATGCCGTGTCTCTCTCCTGTACGTTCCTGTTTTCCACACTGCCTCTTTTGTCGCTGTTTCTCACCCTCGTTTTGTCAATAGCTATACGTTTATGTGCATGTGTACTGACGATATACCACATGTCTTGTGGCGCTCTTGCCGTCAAGCGGATCCTTATCTACCGTAGTTTGTCCGACGGTCTTTGGTAACGATGGTGGTATTGTTTTTGTTGATCATGAATGATGCCTTCGGGATAGACAGGCAGACCTAACAGAACAAAAAGACGACGCCGAGGCTTAGCAGGACGAGAGAGCGATGCATAGAAGACAGCTGGAGCTAGCGTGCTGTCCGTCATCCCGTCGTCAGACTGAGCCGCCACGCCCTGACCTAACTTAGGTGAACAGCGCAGTCGCGAGAAAAGATAGCATGAGAGAACGAATGGGAAAGAATGACACGAAAGGCGGCCAGCTAGACAAAAGGCAAGTTAACCTGACATTGGTCTTATACATGATTTCCTGCCAATCCGGAATCCTCACGGTCTCTGAGCGTGTTCGGTCCGTTGTTTGTTAATGATCTCCGAAATAAAAAGAGAATGAAAAAGGGATGGCTTCTCCCATCCTGTATACAAGTTGCACACCTGCGGTCAAAACAGAATGGTAGAGATTTAGAGAGGTGTCCTAGAATGACAATTGCGCTAGTCGTATCAAAAATGTTCGATTCGTTCGTACTATTCACTATATGGCTATAGGTCCACAATCAGATGTTTCACCGGCTGGACTGTCTAGGTCCAGAGGCTCTGTACCAGATGTGTGTTTTTGGTGTTTCCTAAGGCTCACTCACTCGTATATAAACAAAGACGTATGGATCGATGGTGCCGTGCAAAAAAGGCATAAATAGAAACGACCACAGTCACAGAAATTCTATCCTCAGCTGCGAACCCTGGATAAGCGATCTCTATCAGCCGGTTTGAACAAGAGAATGACACCTAAATATGATCGAATAATAACGATAATAATAACTATAATAACAACAACAGTAAAAGGCATAAGAGAAAGAAGACTAATATCTAAATATGATCATCAGAAAACACATCAGGTACGTCTAGCAAAATAGTTTTGTCGTCCTTCTGGTGCATGCCGTTGCGTCACGTAGGTAACGCCAACAGCCACAGTAAGGTCATCAAATATCGCATTTATTCTTACTCTTCTCTTTTCTTTTCCACTTTTCCACCGCTTTCAGCGCATACATAAAGCAACATTATATTAATCATATGCTGTGTATTCATGTCTATTACATATCTACCACCACTCTAACATCCATTGCTACTCATGTTGCCAATCGAGTTCCTCCAGCTCTAGACATCTTCACCGCTCTAGCATCATATAATTAACTAGTGAGTTCAAATCGATAGCGTCACTGTGTTCTTTGTCTTTCTATGTTTGTTCGAGCTTCTCACGCTCGAACCATTGCGGTAAATATCCGTCTAATTTTGCCATGCTTCATTTGTCATTATCTTGTGCTCGTTTTCTGTAGTCGCTTGGTGAGCTTCTATGGTTCAATAGCTTTTATAATGTCAATGCTACAGCAAAGGGGTTTTGTTTGGGTTCGGCGTCACCTAATAGAAATCGTACATTAGTCTGACGATCAGCGTGTTACAGCAATAGTATTACACCTGCTTCCGTACCCCTGGCGTCTGGAGAAGAGCTAACGCTCTTAAGTATGATACTTGTTTTTCGTGCGTTTTATTTCCTTCATTACCCCCCACCCCCCCCCCACCCATTAACCTCGATTACTTTAAGGAACGACGTAATTTAAGTGGTTAATGCGCATCTCTTTGAGTGTGTTCCTAAGCTAACCACAACTAACAAGCATGCTATTACCGTGGTCCAAATCTTAGAGTTGGAAGAAATCATCAACAAACATTAATATTCTGGAAAATAGAAAATGTAATAGAGGAGAAATTAAGGAACATCGGGTTATTACTAGGAAGGCTGAATGCTGCTTGCTATTTCACACGTCTGTTGGCAAAACCCTAGGTAAGTCCAGACCTACTCCGGTTAGCCTCCTGAGGGAAGCAAATTGCCGATGCTTTGACCAAAAATAGGTGATTCCGAGAACTTGTTCGCAAAGCATAAATAACAACTAGTGCTATACATATGAAAAAAAAACCTCAACTTCCAAAACTATTCTTATCATCACGTTCTTCCATTTCGTTCCACTGGATACTGTCGTCTCTTCAAAATCACAGAGATCATCACTGGTACATCGTCATTGTCTCTATCGACCAGACATATCCGTAAACCGATAATTAACAGTTCGTGTTGCTGTTTCGTCACAGCAGCTGCTGCAGTTAACTCTAATATATAACAACGAGATCTGCTAATCTTTCTGTTATCAATGACAGAAAAATCAGGCCAAAGTAATGTTGTAAATAATATATCATACACATTTTCCTTTAGAATCACAATATAGTATTTCAAGGTTTTAGCGAACTTAACAAAATTACATTATCTCTCAATGCGGCCTGGTTATCGGTCACTAACAACCTTGAGATAGCTTACTATCTTCATAATATTATAATGTTAAGCATTAATACTACCTTTTATAAATAACAATTGTTTCATCGGCCATTATTACATTATATAAGCGCGGTATATATAAGAAGTGTATATTTCTTTGTCTGTTGCATGGTAGTCCGTTTTGCATGTGTAGCTTATCCAGTTGTTGGGCTTCGTGCATTCGTTGACTTTGTATTTTTTTTTATTCCTTTACTATTTCAACCAACCCACTTGCTTCAGCCGAGCATTTCCCACAGTTTAGTAATAGAAGTAACATATAGTACAACATTGGAAAATACTGCTTTACCTGTCGTGGTGTGTATGTAGCCCAGCTAGCTATATGTTAGTGTGTTTTTATTTTCTACAGCTAAGCCAAAAAACAACGGGTAATAAGTCTGTGTCCTTTCTCCCGAAGCTGGTTGTTGCGTCGCCGATCATACCGTTCAACAATCCTTCTCTTTGTATGGGCCTGTTCCGTGTTCTGCTTTGATTTTGTAGGAAGAGTTTAATGTCACCGTTCGTTTCATCTCCATGGATTTCTCTTGTTATTAATAATAATATATTTACATGAATCTATACATTTGAACTAAACGCAATACATTTTGGATTACAAAGTAAGACAAGTTTACTAACTGGTGTCAAAAGCATATATGCTTTAACCCTTACAGAGTGCACTCCACATTTCTTCTTCTTTTATTTTGACTTGAATGTGCTTTTTTCGTGTGCGGTCGATCCGCCATACGGCAGATCGTTATTATCAACTTTGCCATATGAACCCTGTAGTTATACTATCTCCGTTTTTAGACGTAGATGAGACTATGGTAGGTAGATGGTTGTGATTGATGTTTAGGCAATTGACCCTCTTGTTGCTGTTGTTGTAACGTTTGTTGCCCCTGCAACTGATGGTGCAGGAGCTGTTGAGATTGCTGTGACAGGCATTGGTCGGAGAATCGGCCGATCGTTTCGTAGCCCGGATCAGATGGGGTTCGCGATGATATGGTATGACAGGATAGGATCTGGTACGCGCGGTTTCCTGTGTCTACTGGAAGAGCACCGTTCAGACTCATTAAATAGCTCTGCAGAGCGTTCGGGTTGAGGGTAGCGTAGGACGGTTCGAGAGGAAGACCATTGCCAGGGCCTACCGACAACGCCTGCGCGATTGGATGGTGTGCTTGTAACGTTGTGTATGCATGAGGTTGAATGATGTACGGGTATTTGTGGTTGTCGTAAGAAGCGTACTTGACTGGTGAAGTGTCAAGGTCTTTAATGATCGTGCCGGTCCTAGCATCGCTGATTCGTCGCCGCCACGTCAGGAACAACACGACGGAGACCAAGACGAAAACGGCCAGCGAGGTGAAGGTGACAGCCAGAATACCTCTACCAGACTCACCCTCACAATTGAGTTGGACATCGCTGAGGCTTTTAAGGAAATCCATGTGGAGATGTGGCGGTCCGTGACAGCGGACTGCAGAACTGTTATGGTACGCGTGTGGTTTCTGCGCCATATGGCGCCAAAGCCAGGTCAGGGAACAATTGCACACTAGGGGGTTCTTCGTCACGTCAAACGACTCGAGTTGATCCACGGGCAAAAGTTCAGGATGAATGTACTTGAGGTCGTTGCCACGCAAGCTGACCTTTCGCAGCTGACGTAGGTGATTAAGCAGTGTCGACGGCAGATGCTCCAGCTGCATATTGAACTCCATCCAGAGTTCTTCGAGCTCAGGTGTGTGACGGAAGACATCTTCTTCGATGCGTTCGAGATTCTCGGAACGGGTAAGATGCAAACGCTTCAGTTTTCGCAGATGTTTAAGATCGTTCGTCGAAATCTTCGGCATGAGGTTCCCGCCAACGTTTAGCTCCTCAAGCTCAGTGAGCCTCGAAATTGCGCGTGGGAAAACGAGTAAGTTATTGTTCTGCACGTTCAGCTTCTTCAAACTGGCGACACCGACGAACGCATCGGCATGAATTTGTGACAGCGCGCACTGGTCGAGGAGTAGCTCCTCCAGCTGATTAAGATGATAGAAAGCACTTTCCTCAACCATCGACAGAGCGTTCGATCCGAGATCGAGAGCTCGGAGCGTCGAGATGTAGGTGAATGAATCGCTCGGGATGTGGCGCAGTGCGTTTGAACGCAAGACCAGTCGCTCAAGATTAGTAAGTCCATGGAAAGCTCCTGAACTGACCGAGGATATCTTGTTGTGAGACAGATCAAGAACTTTTAGCTTGTGTAGAGGCGTGAACACGTTTGATGTCAGCTCGGCAATGCTGTTTTTCTTCAGGATAAGATGAGTCAAACTCTGCAAGCAACGGGTGGTGCGCGGTTTGGTCAGAGAATTGATATTGGAATAGAGTTTCCTGATCGTAGGCCTCAACAAAACGCTGCACCTTTAGTTAGCTTTACTGATAAGCCAAGGATATTCGAGAACTCAATCTATTTAGATATTCCAAGATAGAAGATTTGACTGCCAAAAGTACGAAGTCGAGTATTAACGACTCTAGATAGTAGTAGTCCTGTCAATAAAAAGTCAAATTTCAGTCGATTGAAAAAATAGCTGTATCAAATGTTAACACAGAGTGCTTCCATCATACGTACCTCGAGACCTTCAAAGGCGTCTTTTTCGACCATGGTGATGAGGTTATAGCTAATGTCCAACCGGCGTAACTCCTTTAGTTCGAGACCCTTCGAACCAAGTTTGGCGATCTTATTAAAGCTTACGTCAAGCGCCTCCATGTGAGCGTATACTCCGAACGCTGAGTCGATGCTAACAATATTATTTCGGGGTAACGTAATTTCCTTGATCATTGGGTTAAGCGTGAGAGGCACTACCTCAAACCCAGCATCTGCACAGCTGACGGTATAATCGACATCATTGCAATGACAACGTGCGGGACAGAATGTTGACCAGCGAGTGCTTTGTGTAAGTGGGGCAAGTCCCACCACGAATAAGGAAACCAAAGGCAGCTGTAAATAAGACAAGACGAAGCAGTCAACGGTTAAGCATTACTAATGGCCAAGAAGAATCCCAAGAAAATGCTAAGCTAACTAATGCGACCCATCGGGTTGCTCCACTACGACAATAGCCCTATGAATTTGTTTAGCCGTGATCAGCTAGGACTGAGATACACTGTGGAAAATATGAATCATCGCAAAAAAACAATAACGAAACAGATTCACAGGAGTGGCTGCTACGGTCATTCTGTATAACTCCTAGCAATACCTAGAGTTCAGTGGAAACCTATGGACGTGTGTATATTTCGTGAGGGATATCTGCATCTCATTAAAATGACACGGCGACAGATGGCACTGTGGACCATGTAGAGTACAATGACAACCAATCTAGAATTAAGATTTCGAATCGAGGCATAAGAGTGAGAGGCCCACAGTCCGTGGCAAAACAGGTAGCCTAGAACATACCTAGGACATGGACCAACCCATAAAGAGAGAACACCCAAATAAACAACACTATTTCATAGACAGATTGCCAGATAATGTAGGTGCTTGATTCGACGGCAGTCTGAAGGCAGGCTAGTGAGGTGGAGTCTCGCATAATGTTTTCGTGCCCAGTCGTGGACGAACACGTAGGCCGGACATCAGCTGGTGAAGCACACCGGAACAAAAACGACACTGGAGAATGAATGGTCAGATCGTTTGTTGGCGAATGATAGAAAAACAAGCCAAGATGACGTTCAGCATCGGTGACGATTTCGTGATTCTGACAATGTATGTGCACCGAGCCCCGATCCAACGCTAGGAAAGGTACTGAATTTACGCTCCTACTGAATTTATCTCTTTCAAAGTCAACGAACCTCGACGGGTATGAATTTGCTGTTTGTCTATGAAGCTGACGATGCTTGTGACGACTCGGCGTTTGTACAAGTGAATAGGTATTTGCTGTATTACTTTACATTAGCGTCTCAAATTGTTTACCATAGTTATTAAACACACGAGCATAGTCGGCAGATTATTTATTATAACAACGATGACCCAATTATAACAGCTGCATGAACGGAATAAGTACCTATTGTTTTCAATAGCCTGTCATCGGACAAATAATATGGCAGCAAAAAAAAATAGGGAAAATTAAGCTAAGATTATTAAGATGTTGCTGTCTACCTTGACTCAGTCAGTATGTACTAATCACAGATATCATATAACGCGTCCTACGTTTGGCAAATCAGTATAAGCGTGCTAATAAAAAAAAATACGTACTTTCATTGTGCCTGTGATGTAGAGACGGAATCAGGAACGTGCCGCAAAAAGAATGGAAGATTCTGAGTAACAACCACGTCGTAGTATCCGTAAACGGCACAGCTTAGTAAGCATATAATCTGTAGATGAAACGTCCAAAGCAAATCATGAATAATGATTGCCACTTCCATGCGCAATAAACAATTTGACACACACGAGTTTTTCAGTCAGCCTCAAACAATTTTGGATTGTTTCTCCGACGCTTTTAATGGCACACCGTTTTTTAGTAGAAAACAAATTCAACTACTAGCAATGTCACTTTATTGTATTCCTTAGGAAGCTCCCGGTGGAGATCATGGTTCACGTTCACATACACACACAATATCTTGCCACGCTATTGACGACGTCGTCGTACCGCCCGCACTACGACCTGCGTCCAGCTCTATATCTGAACGACCGTTGGCAGGCTCTTTGCTTTTGACTAAGGACGACAGTTTGCGTCGTCCTCTCCCAAAGTGGCGAGGGCGCGTGTCCCACCCCCGTCGGGGGTTGTTCTGGCGTCGCGACTGGCGGACGGATGGACTGCGTTTATAAGCCGGATACTCAATTACTCCCGGGTCCGTTGAAAATGAGCGGTCGCGCCATCGTTTAGGTGACTTAGGGTTGCGATAATTGAAAATGCAGCTTGCTGTTAGTGATACAGAAGCACCAAATCATATAGATAGTTTACAATCGGCTACAATAAAGATAAATGAATTGATAGTTGGACCAACTCACTGATGTTGGCATTTGCTATCCGCAGCTTTTCCTCTTGTTCCGCTGCTTCCTTTAGTTTTTAGACCCGGTTAGGCGAGTTAGTGTGGATTCTCTTTCCAGATCGCCGCAACTGCCTTCGCACTGCTCCGAGTTCGGAAGACTTCGAATCAGACAGCCAGCAGAGACAAATTGGAAGGAGAGAAAGAAAACGGGACAAAAATCGTTGAAACGAACTGCTTTTTTTTAGTGAGAAGCAGAGTCTTCCGCCTTTGTCGATGTTGAGATGCTGCTAGACTAACGCAGGTCCTGCAGGCTCCTTTTATTTTTAGTCTTAGTCTGCTTGATGCATACGACGAGAGCGCTAGTCAGCCAGCCAGGAGAATCCCGTCAGCCGATCTACGTAAAGTGACCACTCATCAAAATTGTTCGCCATTTTTTCGCTATACCGTTGGAAAAGCGGCAGACATCCCTGAGTTTGTTCGCTCGTCGATGCCGCTGTGGTGATGCTAAAAAGCACGCTATGTCGCCACAATAGTGTACACAACAAAACGAGGGAGAGGCGCGGCGAAATGTCGACGCGGATGAAAGATGCTGATGAAATGTAAGAGGCCACCCCTTGGCCGGTCGAGTTTAGCCCTGATGATAAAGTTACTTAAGCGTAAATCTGTTGTGGTAAAAGAGAATAATCACGCTTCGGCCTGTCTGGAGGAATCACAATAGCAGTGAGAGAAACGAAAATCCACCATAATCAGAACAAGCAAAGCTATGACGCTAAGGGAAAAATAATCGCCCTAGGTTTACTTTGAAACACAAGGAAAAGGCCTTCCTTCGTTTGTTGGTTCATATGAAAATTCTAGAAATGTCGCCCCTTTTCTTTCTAACTCAAACCGCAGTTGTCGCTGCTGCTGGTCATAATCTCAGTCAGGTCTTCCCCTGCACCCAACACATTGGCGTATCCCAGCAATCCAGAAATGACCTGCTGGACCAGGTTCTGTCCACAGGGTGCATTTTGTCGATAGAGGCCAAGATGCCGTTCGCTACTCTTCTTCCTCCTTGCTTACTCTAAACTTTATCCACTTAGGTACATATGATAGTTAGGACAGGAGAGAACGAGGAAATCTATTTCGCGACAAGAAACAGTTCCAAAACGGACCCGCAGATTCGTAAACGGGCCAACTCTCAGCGAAACCGTCAGCAAAAGGAGCTGCTGTATCAGCAGGTATTTACTAGAAAGTGCACAAGGAGAAGCCGGGATGTCATCGTCAACAACATCAACATCACTAGAGCCATCAGGCTGATGAATGTGTGGACGGACAATGATAACAAGATGACGGCTGGCTTGTCTTCCCTCCAACGCAATCGATGATCACAAGCATTCGCTTCATTATGACTTCTATAGTCAGTGAGATCATCACAGGTTGAGGTAAATGTTTAGACGACGCCGGAGACGCCTATACTCTTTCTCCATGTGCTTTTCTACAGGCATCTATAGTTGGCATGACAGTCACTCGACGGGTTGCTTTTTCTTGCCAAATCGCGTAACAACCCGCCCGGTGTATCACTAACGGGCTAAAAGAGAGAGACATCATCATCACCTCCATTTTAAGGAAAATATAAGTTTGACTTAATTCTTTTTTCTGCTGTTCGACATATGTACATATAGCTTTCTTTCTGTACGACATTGCGTAGTGCATATGTAGGCGTAAGATGCGAACCTGTAGCAGCAAAGTCTAGGCGTTCAAGCAGGCCTTTCAACTGGAGGCCACCGCAGCGACTTATTTGATGCATATAACCTTCGATAAAATAAAGGAGAAAGTACGTTATCGGCTCTCTGTTTGTTCTCATATTTTGTTTTTTCTTCTTTTTTACATTGATCGGATTCATGTAGAGAGTCAGCTCATTGAGTCAACCCGTCTCGTCGGCATCTTCAACCACGCAAAGAAGAGCCTCCTTGTTCATTCTAACGGATGTAGATACAGTTGTCATGCCGACGAACAGCCAGGCGGAAGAATAAGACATGAGCGGGAACTAGAGAGAGACATGGGTCAGGAAAAGGGAATCACGTGAAACGAGGCCAGGCAACCATTGATCTCTACCTTCATTTCTTACTGAAATCTTACTTGATCATCTTCACGATGGAGAAACAGCCAATGGTGTCGTCTATTAAACACGTGGCGCAAAAAATGCCTTTGTAATATGTGTTGATCAAAGTGGACGGCTCGCGTCGTGTTCTTTTGTAGAGAAAAAAAAGTAGGTAGAGCTTAAGATAAGGCCGGGCCTCTCTGTTCGCCATCGCTGTTACGTATATTACATTGAGGTTTATGTAAACCGTTAACCTCCGACGGTATAGGCCTGTCCTTACCCATTCCTATTACGACTTGCATGTGGTTTCTGGGTTGTTCTAGGCACTTGGTATTACTTAACATCACTTTCAACGAGTGGCTTAGCCGGAGTATTAAAAGAAGCCATATAGCCCGGCCATACGCGTGTACGTTACGTACTTCTAATCAGAAAATAAATGACATTTGTTGAAAATCGTTCTCTGATTATTTTACTAGTTCGAGGTAGGTCTAGAGCTCATCATCACAGAGTCATGCACAGATCTAGCAAACGCTTAAGGACTATAGTGTTAGCAAAATACGTACAATGCTAACGGATATCGTCATATATTTCAGATGGTTGCATTGTCAGCTGAACAGGTAAACCATCTAAAGGCTGAGTTCACAAATATGGCGACATGGGAATAGAGTGATTGATTCAAATTAGCTACGCAATCCATCAGTACAACAAAGTAAATTGGCATCGATGATCTCGCTGATTTCGAACATGTGGAAGCCGTCGAAAATAGCGGTACTTTTAATAATTTTGTTTTCTGTATGTTTATGCATATACGTCCAGTTCGAATCGGGATTCTATTCTTTTTTACTTTTTGCTGGCCAACGACCCTTAGACACAACCGAAATCGATCGCAATCTGTATACACGATGACATGAATAAAATGAAGTTAAGACAACAACAATTCTCTTAACGGCTGTTCTATCTAGCGGTCCTTTCAGTTTAATGGAGGAACAATATGCCTAGCTCTACATCGCCTAGTTGAGAAGTTTGCTCCGCAAGACAACATCTAATGGAAAATGATAAAAAAAATTGAAATGTTGAAGTATATCCCGACAAAAATGCTAACATACAATTAAGCAGGTATAGCGAAAATGATACGCCACGTCCCGTACGATACGTCTAAGATTAAATTTAACAGAAATATCGGAAAACTGTTTTCCAGTTCGAAGACCTTCAGGATCAGTATCAAGAGTCATCTGATTACTGATATTATCGAGATAAAATATGAACAAGTGCCTAAATTTATCGCTGATTTTGCTTGTCCATTACCTACGTTATACACGCTGTTCGTTAACCCTCAGATCTGGCAACCCGTGCTATTGTTTTCTTGTATTTCTAGGTCGATTCAATTTAATACCCTCTACTACGTAATGTGGCTCTCCAGTGGAGATTTGATCAGATATAGAACATTGTCATCTAATTAGTCCAACCGACTAGTCAAGCTAGTCATAACCGACTGAAATTCGGTTTGCCCCATCTTAAAGGGGCAACTAGGTCTCCTACATGTTGATCGTACATTTGTTTTTATTTTTCCCTTTTACCATTTGTTTGTTTTTCGTAGATGTTGCACTCTGCTAACTCCAATTCACACGAACACACAACAATGTAACAACCCCACATCCGAACGGCACCGTCAAGGCTGCCAGACTTGAATTGTGTTATAGATATATGTTAGCAACAAATTAGCCATCTGCGATTATAGGAGACTAAACGCAGACGCTATAACAGTATCGATCGTCCTTGTTGCTGTTTATACGATAAGCTTCCAGTACTAAACGGCGACCCTTTTCATCATTGTAAATACGAGCGTTTTCCTTATGGTGACTGACAATATGACCCCTATTTATGTTGCCTTCGATTACCGTAATTTGTTTGTCGCTTGCTACAGAGAATGAGTGATGCTCCGATAAGGATTTGCTTCATTTATCAAAGCGATCAGGTACTCCATGATGGTTCCGTTTCTTTTTTTCCTATCCTATTTGAAATACATGTTAGTCTTATAATAATTTATTGTCGAGTCAAACTCCGGCCACAAGCCAGACCCTATGTGATGCTTTTTTTTTAGTACTAGATCTAGCTTACTTACGAGTATCAGCATGCAGTGTAGTAATAAAAAAGCTATATATCGCTTTTGCATTATCTGTGTGGATCACGGTTTATTCCACGTGGAAACCTCACACATCTAAATAAATGTATTCCATTTCATTCGTTTAGGTGGCCTGAGTTAAGGGTTTTAGGGGTTCGATAAACATGTGTATTATAGCGCGTTTTCAGGTGATTTTAAACCAGTTCATACTTTGCCGAAATAGGTTGAACCTGCGGCCGGCTGTGTCAGCCAGTAGGTTATAAACCTAGTTTAATTTGCGTTCCCCAGTGAAATGAGTTAAGTTATTTAGCTTCAAGGAAACAGTTGTGGAATCAAAGCAAAGAACACTGACTTAGTGAGCTGCATCCTCATCAATGTCTTAGAGGAAAAACCTTCTTTAACAGCCGCCATGCTCGTCAAGATCAGCTACAGAACCTCCAATTCGGCGACTGCATCTACCCCACCTAAATTCGTTGGTCTCAACACCCCCGCAGCGATGCTCTTCCAATGAAAATTAAAGGCGAGCATTTTAAGATAGTCGCATTCGTGCACGATGCTTTTGTAAGGGAACCCTCTGCGTCACTAT